CACATATTGCCCCTATGCTGCCCCTACTGCTCATGTGTGTATTGTATTATTTAAGTGCAAGGATTGTTAAAATTCTAGATTCTCTAAAAACAGACGAGGAACAGTGGAAACACAAACAGAACATGTCATTTCTCCTTACGTTCATGCAGAGGAAAGGCCTCTCAGTGGTTCACCCAAGTAACAATTAGTTAGCACTGAAGTTCTAAGACTAGCTGGTCTTAGTAGCTAAACTAGCCTGACCTTGACAAGTATAAAGTTAAAAAGTCAAAGTTTTGTTAATATATCTTAATTGAGCTCCTCTCCACTGAGAACTATGAGAAAGAAGTATTCAGTTTGATCTCTGACCTGTAAAATGTGAAATATGTTGCTCTGAGTGTGTAATTTCTGTTGTTTTACCATTCAGTTATATATTTGACAATGTTTGTAAAACTGCTGACTCAGCCCAATAAACATTCATCTGTCATAGAACTGCATGTGCTAAATGACAAGATGGATGTTTTTGCCTTGGTTGAGACCTTCATACGTAGCATGCAGGCAGCTCATTTGCTATAGTGATGCAGTTTGTGTGAAAACAGACGTCAGCTACTTATTTTGGTGACAAACTACGTTTTAAACTTGTGTGTAGAACTGACGGTAGCAGACAATCCACTCTTAACAAATTCATAAAATGCTTCATATCACAGGATATCATGTTGACAAAGACAATATAAATACTTTTCTGTTAATTGGATTGTTGATTTTTGTGTTTCCACAATATCGCCATAGATCACATTTGCTCACAGTGAGATTCCACAGTCCTCCATCTGTCAAATTCCTTCCTCCTATCAAGTAATCATGGGCTATACATGGCTGTTTAATATTCATAATCATGTGTCACTTTGACATTTTCAAAAGGTTCCCAATCACAGTCTCTGATGGCACGCTGTACAGGCTATGCATAACAATCTTCTCCTCTGTCATCAATAATTGTAGCTGTCCTCAGACAAGTCACACGGGGGCTGGTGTGTTGAGATGAATACGAGGCTGAATTATCGCTGTAGAGTTGTGTTTGAATGGTTCGGCCTGGAGTCGGAGGAGAAAGGATTTTATTTTTTTTAATCCTCGTGAGACTGTGTTTATGTGCACTGTAAAACTCGGTCAGGTCAATTCTGTATCCGAAAAGCATGAAGAATCACAGATAAATCGATTGGAGTGTGTGTGTGTGTGTGTGTGTGTGTGTGTGTGTGTGTGTGTGTGCGCCACAGGAGCGAGCGGCTCTGTAGCAGACGGGACAACTTCCCTGCTTGATAACATGTAGCTCACATTCCTGGGATTCCTCCAGCCTCTGCTCTAATTTCCATTCTCGCTCAGCTCCTTAAGGCCGCCTTTTTTACGGCTCTGTGACATTCAGCCTGTGCTCGCTTATTGCATTATCCATAAAAATCAATTTAATGCAACCAGCCACCGATATATATGTTTTGAATATCTCGCTATTTTGTCCTGTTTTTTGTTTTTTTGTTGTTTTTTTTTACAGCTGAATATGTTTTAGCCGAGCCCTGAGAGGTCATCTGAGAAGAGAAAAATATAAAGTGCAGGGTGATGCAAGAGGTTGTCAGGAATTCATAAGTTCATCCCATATCTGACAGAAATGGAAATGGACCATCACTGCAGTAACAAGGAAAGCTTACGTTTTGTACAGAAGTTGTGATCTTGTGATTATTCCCTCTGTTAGGACACATTTTATAAATGTTACATATGATAAATACGATGACTATTAAAGTTTAGATAAAAACCAGATACTTCCTAAATCAGAGCCTAGTTCACTGTGTAACTCCATGTTGTCTTACTTATTTATTTACTTGAGAACACGTTTCCACACATTTTAAGGTATTTCCACCTCAAATTTTGTGATATTAAAATAGGATTTCAATGATTTCAAGGACACTGAAAGATGAGTTTTGGGGCAACTCATACCGGGTATTTGAAAAGTATCATGTACTTAAAATAAGTGATTTATTCACATCTCTTCTTTCTCTCTATAGATGATTTTGGGATTCCACTTCTTTTAATACCCTCCAGTTGAACCTAAATTGTGAAAACAAACATTTTCTAGTCCCTGTTTCTAGAGAACTTGAAACGGCCATGTCACCGTGTGGGAGGAGAAAGTCCTGGGACTGAACGTAAAACGAAGTACAAAATAATGACTTACAATTAACTCCCAGCTGCTCTGTAGTTATGTGGTTTTACTGCATGCCTCAGGGTAGTGCATACGGACCCCTGAAATAACTAAAGCTGTAATTAAGGTTTCAAAGTTTTCCCTGTTTTTTTACCCAGCCCGACGTCGGGAATACCTCGGCGTACATGAGAAGGAATGTTAACTGCAGCCGTGCTGAGCACAAGCTAAGAACAAGAAGGAGATGAATCCAAATGATTTCTAATGTTCACAGGGCTTCTGTCCTAAGCCACCAGCAGCCAGCACTGGTCAAGGAGCCGCTCCGCACACAGATGGCAAACATGCTCTTCTGCTGACACCTAAAGGACAAAGTGGATTTTGTAGCTGCAGTGTAAAATCCACTATTTTCTAATCTTAAAAAG